CCAGGTTACAATAATCCACACTTTTAATCCAGGTTACAATAATCCACTCTTTTAATCCAGGTTACACTCTTCTCTCAATCACACATTTTACAAAGTAGCTACATATTGTGCAGGTATAAAGATAATTTGTATATATTTTTGTGTACATTTATTTTTTAAGCTATTTGACTAACTTTTATTTTTTATTATTCAATATTTTATTAACACAGTAGTCAAATAGCAACCTGTTTTTGTGTGAATTGCTATGTCAGTCAAATGTTCAATTTTGGAATAAAGGGGTGGAAATTAAAACGTAGAATTTTTTTTTCTTTTCTGATTAATCGAAAAAATAATCGGCCGACGAATCGATTATTGAAATAATCGTTAGTTGCAGCCCTAATATCATCACTTTTTTGCCCGGGCAAGCTTTTTTTTACTGATATTATCGTGAATGATATGATAAGTCCCAGCCCTAGTTCAGGCTGTCACTCCTTTGATTAATGCAGATTCCTCCGGATCCATGTAAACATTACATCTGTCCGTGTCCACGCAGATCTTTTCCTCTAATTAACATACGAAAAAACCTACGTCTCCCCCCGTCATGTCCGTGTAAATAGGGCCGAAGTAGGTAGGTTTCACAAATACTGTGGCAGAGTTTGATGTGGTAGTACCTGAGAGTCATTCGCAGCACATACTTGGAGCATGACATCTCACGCATGAAATTTATTATTTTTAATGTATGACCTAAACATGTGCAGCTTTCCCATCGTAATCACTGTACTTTTTTATCTCCCATAGTTCTTATTTGAGTATTTTATCTGTGTAGTATGCTAAAAGGCTAGGTTAGCTTCGAGCTCCACTACAGTCATATTTTATTTTTGGTATGGTATGGTATGAAGTTTATTCATTTTTAAAAAGTACAAAACAATTCCATAACAATATATAAAAAGATACAAAAAAAATTAAAATGAAAGGCAGCAGAAAGAAGAAAAAATCTTATTTTATCTGCCCCTTTTTTCAAACAATTATTTCAGACATATTAATTTTCAAGTAACAGAACAAAATGAATTTTAATAACGGGTTCTCTCTTTTTCGAGTTACTTGACAGATATGTGACAGAGATACTGTGTTGTAGATGGTCTAATCAGTGACATGAGACGTTAATTTTCTTTGACCCATCAAAATAAATGCGGTCATTTATTAACAGAATCAAAATTTAACATCAAAACATTGTACACTTGATTAGACTGATCTGGTTCTGATTAATAAAACTTGGCACGTTTTACTTAATAAAAACAACAGACATTTCTGTAGATATCTGGATTAATTACTGGCAAGATAGAAGAGTTTTAAAGATGGGAAATGAAGGAGTTTGAATGGAGAGAAAAGATGGATGAAGATGTATGTCTGTAGACCAGAACAACAAGCGCAGTTCACCCGTGGTACACTGGTAGTGAAGCTCGTGACGACTCTTTACCTTGGCGGAGGATGGGTCAGCTGCGGTCAAGAGGTCCCTGGCACGCTACCTTTCAGTGTCTCCTCAGGGCGGCTGCGACTCGGCAGAAGTCATGAGATACTCCGTTCCACAGAACAAACTTCCTCAGCAGTTATAGGGCATTCACCGGGTGGAGCCACAGCGAGGCGTCGTGGCTCCTGCAGAGATGGATGACTCCATCAGCCTGGAAAACTGAGTCCGAAGTTCCACTCAGCAGTGGAAAAACTCCAGAACTACTCCACAGTACTCCGAGACTCAGAAGAACTCCAGCCGAACTCCATCAGAACCAGCAGAACTAACGGAACTCACGGAACTAAGAGGGACTCTTAAAGAGTTATGATTCCGGTCACTTTTAGGAAGTCCTGATTGGTTGAAGGAACCAACAGGGGTGTGGTTTTAGTGACATCAAAGGGTCATTACAAGTCGAGAAAACAGCTTTGAGAACGGTTTTGAGAACGGTTAGTTACAGACGAGAAAATATTTTGGAGAAATGACAGACTTACAGGTGCCAGTTTTCTTGTTTACTGTCTGAGAGGTTTAAAAACACGACAGCTCGTTCCAATAAACTTGTTTGCGACTGTCTCCAACTTTTGACCAACATCACTCTTCTAATTTCAAAAAGAAGATCAAAAAATGCATAATTACTTTGTAAAATAGACATTTAACTTGATTTCTACTTTGAATGAGGTTTAAAAAATCATTAATACTGTTTCACAGTTGATTTAAAATGAGTGGTTCACTTCAACATTTAGAAATGGTTTGAACTAAACACACTTTTGATTATCAAGATATTGTAAAATAGTGATGATAATATAAAAAGAGAGTGTTCTTTCAATTGATTAGTTCAGGATACAATTAGAAAGTCTCTGGATGAGCTAATTTGTATTTCTGGATTCAAATCAATGAAATAACAGTTCCTGTCCCATGAAGGTCTTCAGAGGCAGGTTTTGGTCGGAGGCCGAGTTCACTACATCTGCATTTTGTGCATTTGAAGTTTTCGATGTGTTCATTCTGAGGCGTTCTCCTCCTGGTGGTTTTTCCTCTCGTTGCGTTTATCCTGATGTTACCTGATGTTCACTCTTTGTAGCACTTTGAGAATCTCTGTGAATGTAAAGTGCATTATAAATAAAAGTTATTATTATTATTAAGAGTCGCAGTCCAAAACTCAGTGGGTGGTCTGGATTCCTGCTGGGCCTCAGACTTTTTTTTTTTGGTCAGGTTCATCAAAACAAATAAAAACTAGTTTGAGAAACATTTTGTACAACCAGAATCTGTCAAGATAGAAAGTGTGCATCCTCTTACAAAATCTATTTAATTTCTTGTCAATTTTTCACCAACAAGTGTTTCTGTCTACAGTCGATTTATTTATTAGAGCCGTCGATGTTTCTCATGTAACGGGGCAGAGTTTAAATCCTGCACAGGACAGCACAAAGATCTGATAAAACCTCTCTAGTCAAGTTTAGATGGACTGTTTGTTTGTTTGTTTGTTTGTTTGTTTGTTTTAAGCAAACATTAATGATCACATGCTAATCTACCAATCCTTGTTGTAATTGTCTTTTTTCTTCAATATTTCAGGACAGTCACTTCATCTACTCTTTCAGCCCAGTTCCAGGTATCAACAAACTCTTTATTCGTCTTGCTGAAGCACCAACAGCAAAGGTAACAAAATACAGCGACACACACACACACACACACACACACATTTTTTAAACCCCTATAAAGAAGTGTTTGAGGTTGATCCGATTGTTGTTCAGTTTGACATAAAAACTGTCCATTAATCAATATTTCACTTCAGTTCAGTTTATTTGTACAGCTCCAAATCCATCAAGTGTCTCAGGGCACTGGACAGGAAGAGTCACATAAAAACAGTTCGTAAAGTTCTGTATCAAAGGAAGTGCAGAAGTTGAGAGTGAAACTGCAGCTTTTATTTGTGGAGAGTTTTTAAAACGTTCTTCTTGTTAAAATCTGCAGTTTAAAGTGTTAATAAAAGTATCTGATGTAAGAACCAGAGTGTGAATGTGTGCACGAGGCCCCGGACGTGTTGCTGGACAGGGTTCTTGTGGGTCAGACTGGGTTCTTACATCAGATACTTTTATTAACACTTTAAACTGCAGCTTTTATTTGTGGAGAGTTTTTAAAACGTTCTTCTTGT